AAGTAGTAGTAGAATATAAAAAAGTTAATATACGCGAAAAATACGTAAAAATAACTTTATTTTAATGTATAATGCTCGCGTAAATATAAGAAATCATTAAATTATTTTATTTCAAAAGCATCTTCTGCCCACTTCATTTAATTTATTAATTTTGAATTGCTCATCATTTTGGATTTATTGTCCTATTGGTAAATGGTCCTATTGGTAAATGGTAAATGTATTTTTTTTATTTTCTGTGGTAATTTTATTTGTTACCACATATATTAAGTTTATATAGATTTTTTTGTGTACTGTGTATAATATTAGATCCTTACATAAGAAATTAGCGTTTTGTCGTACTTACCAATTTGATCTGAAATATCTCCTCTTTGGTTAAGAATTCTAAATTAAAATTTATAAATTCATTTAGCTGGTACATTTGAGTTTTGAAAACAGTCATTCATTTCTTTTTTCCTCATTATTTTTTCTTTGGCGTCGCTTATAACCGCACAATGAAAAACATAAAATATCGGTATATTTACGAGTACGAGTTCTACTGTGGCACCAGTGTTGCAGAAACAGCTAGAAAGATTATTGATGTGTACGGCGCTGGTGTCGCTAAAGAAAGCACGGTACGTTTTTGGTTTCAACGTTTTCGTTTTGGAAATTTTGACTTTCAGAACCAAGCCCGTGGACGGCCAGAGACCAAAGTGGAAAGTGACAAAATAAAGGCTATTGTGGAAGCGGATGCAACAAAAAGCACTTCAGAAATAGCTGCAGGTTTCGGGGTAAGTGATAAAACTGTATTAATCCACTTAAAACAAATCGGGAAAGTAAAAAAAAACTTGAACGATGGGTACCTCACGAATTGGGTGAATCTAACTTGCAAACACGCGTCGACTGCTGTTTTAGTTTGTTCAACCGACACAAAAATAAAGTTAAAATTCGTTAAAAAATCAAGTTATTACTTGTGATGCAAATTGGATAATGTATGATAATCGAAAGCTCTCGTCATAATGGCTGAACCCTGGAGACCCAGCCAAATCCTGCCCTAAACGAAAATTGACTCAGAAAAAGTTACTTGTGCGTATTTGGTGGACTTGCGCTGGTGTCGTTCACTACAGTTAGTAGTAGCACTACAGTTAGCTTAAAATCTGGCCAAACGATTACGGCCGATATCTATTGTCAGCAACTGCAAACCATGAAGAAAATACTAGCTGCTAAACAACCGAGATTGGTCAATCGCTCTAGGCCACTGCTGCTTCACGACAACGCAAGACCACACACTGAACAAAAAACAACCACTAAGTTATATGAGATACAATTGGAATGTCTGAGGCATCCACCGTACTCCCCGGACGTTGTTCCAACAGATAACCATTTTTTCTGGAATTTGAACTTCTTACAAGGAAAAAAAATCAATTCCGATGCGGCAGTCCAAACCGCCTTCAAAGAGTTTATTGATTCTCGCCCCCGTGTTTTTTTTAGTAAAGGGATCAGTGAACTACCTATGAGATGGCAAAAGTGCATATATAACAACGGTGTATACTTTAATTAAATAAATATTTTTACAAAAAAAATATCTCCTCTTTGGTTACTTTGAAAATAAAAGTGACAGGTGACAACTGTCGTATATTTTAACCAAATATTTTAACTAAAATATATTTATATTTTATATATACTAAATATATTTTATATATATGTATATACGCGAGCCGTGTACGTGAAAGAAATGACATACATGTGTAATGAATAGCTAAAGTACTAGTAATGGATAAAATAGGAAAATAAAATTTTAATCATCATCATCATCATCATCATTACAGCCCTTCACAAGTCCACTGCTGAACATAGACCTCCCCCAAGTAATGCCACAAAGCACGGTCCTGAGCCACCTGCATCCATCGACTTCCTGCATATCTTACCAGGTCGTCATTCCATCTAGTGGAGGGTCGCCCTACACTACGCCTACCGGTACGAGGCTGCCACTCGAGAATCTTTCTTCCCCATCGGTTATAGGTTCTTCGAGCTATATGGCCGGCCCATTGCCACTTCAGCTTACTAATCCGTTGGGCTATGTCGGTCACTCTGGTTTTACTGCGGATATCCTCATTTCTGAGTCTATCCCGCAGAGAAACTCCGAGCATAGCCTTCTCCATAGCTCGCTGAGCGACCTTGAGCGTCCTCATACGGCCAGCAGTGAAGGACCACGTCTCTGATCCGTAAGTCATCACTGGCAACACGCATTGGTTGTACACTTTAGTTTTCCGAGATTGAGGTATACCTGACGAGAAGATGTGTCGTAATTTCCCGAACGCTGCCCAGCCGAGTTGAATCCGTCGATTGACCTCTCGGTCGAAGTTGGACTTACCTAGTCGGACTATTTGTCCCATTTTGAGCTATGGAGAGGGCTATGCTCGGAGTTTCTCTGCGTGATAGACTCAGAAATGGGGATATCCGCAGTAAAACCAGAGTGACCGACATAGCCCAACGGATTAGTAAGCTGAAGTGGCAATGGGCCGGCCATATAGCTCGAAGAACCGATAACCGATGGGGAAGAAAGGTTCTCGAGTGGCAGCCTCGTACCGGTAGGCGTAGTGTAGGGCGACCCCCCACTAGATGGAGTGACGACCTGGTAAGATATGCAGGAAGTCGATGGATGCAGGTGGCTCAGGACCGTGCTTTGTGGCATTACTTGGGGGAGGCCTATGTTCAGCAGTGGACTTGTGAAGGGCTGTGATGATGATGATGATGATGATACATAATTATGCCTGATTATGCCAATTATACTACTGTGACTATGCATTTTTTGCGTGCTAGATGTGTCTTAGATTATAGTTTTCATAATGATAACCTTTCTTAGAATAATCTTAAGGATCTATTTTACGAATTGATAAAAAATATAGATAGCATATTTTTTTATTCTTTTGTCGGTGGGAGGTGTAGTGTAGTGCTCCCACGTTAATATACTTTAGTGTTAAGGTAGAATAATGAGGCAGTCTAATTAAAGTTTTAGTACCAATCACACGTCTCCTTCATTGACTGGATTTTGATTATTGGAAGAGATTGATCTCTAGTGGCGAGACCGCCTTTTTGTACCTACCTCTTAAAATTATCTTTCTATATATAATCTGTTTGCTTATGTGATTTTATAGTGTAAAAACAAGTATTAATAATAATAATAATAATAATAATAATAAGGCGTAGGGAATTGACGACCCCATCGCCCGCTGACGTAACAGTTAAGTGACAAAACTGCTACGTCAACGCAGTCAGTCAGCGCCTTGCGAGAGGTGTGAGCGCCGTGCCGCGGCAGAATTTAGGGTGCAGAGGCCCGTTTGTGCTTATGGCTACACACGAAACGGTGCCGGGCCTGGGCGGCTCCCGTTAATGGACGCCCAAATAATGGATGATGGATAAAAAGATAGTGCGCAAAGGGCCGCTGCCTGGGGGGCGCCGGGGCGCGTCTGGAGCTGGCGCTGGACGCGGCAGCATGCGGGCCGCCAGCCGAGCGCGAGGAGCTGCACGGTCATCTACCAGCCCTCCGCATCCATCATCCCCACCAGAAGGCTTGGTGTCGGCTGGGTCTTCTCGGACTCAGCAAGCGGCACCCGCCGCTGGTGGAGCACGTCGCATGCGTTGGTCACAAGAAATGAATGCAAACGCACTGCGGGCGTACTTTAGGGCAAAAGGGGAAGAAACTGGATGTTTGGCGTATCGGGCTAGGATGCATCGTCTTTTTGCTGAGCTGGAGCCATCTTTAATCGTCACAGAGCAAAACCTGGCAGACCGAGTTCGGTATATCTTGCGCTCAAATATATTTGATGTCGCCGAACTCGAACGGCTACGACGTGAGGCTGTTCCCTCGTCGGATGAGAATGCTACGGCTGAGGATGCGGCGCCACAAATGGTAGAGCAACCCGCAAACGTGGATGCCGCCGTGAATACCCCAGTTGTGGTTGATTCAAACGATGATGGAACAGTCGCCCAGGAACTGGAACTAGAGCAAATGAGGAGTACATTGGAAGAGGCGATTGTGGAAACGCGCAGTACGCCTCTCGAAAATCGACCGCGACTTCCCCGCATAGCCCTAAGCAAGCGGAATCGGGCTGTCGTGAGGGCTCTGAACCCAATGCTGGTTACCTATTTGGAAGCCAGCCGGGACCTTTGCGAGACGGACTCAATTCTTTTTGGCACTGCGCTGGCAGTCTGTCGTACTAGGCGCCAAGCTTTCCACGGCTGGACGCGCTACTGGCCAAAGTAGCGCTATCCCAGCCTGGAGAAGAAGAATTGAGGAACGTATCGCAAAGGCTAGAGCTCTCATCGGCAGACTGATATGCTTCAGATCAGGCAACAACAGGCCAAGAATTGTGCGCACCGTCAGGATGGCGTTTGCTGGGACAAATGTCAGTTTGTCCCAGCCGGATATAACGCAAAAACTGACGGAGCGCATAGATGATCTGAAGCAGAGAATCGCTGCTTGGGGAAAGCGGATTCGGCGATATACCGAGAGGTCGACACGGTTCAACCAGAATCGTCTCTTCCAGAGTGATCAGAAGAGGCTCTATAAATCATTGGAGCGACCAATGGTAAGTGGAACGGGTCCAGCACCGAATCAGGCCGACACTGTAGCATTCTGGCGCGGCCTGTGGTCAGAGCCCATAAACCACAGCGAGGGCCCTTGGACGGAAGTTGTGGCGAGTCAGTGTGCGGGTATTACGCCCATGGACCCCGTCATCATAACGCCGGAGGACGTAGCTGAGGCGGTTCGTAGGGCCCCGAACTGGAAAAGTCCGGGGCTTGACGGGCTGCATCACTACTGGCTGAAGGGGTTCATGGTGTGTCACTCTGTGCTCGCCCGACAGTTTCAAGAGGCTCTCAACCAGAAGTCGCTCCCAAGCCTCTTCACTACTGGGATCACTCATTTAGTTCCTAAAGACCAGGGTACCACAGACCCGAGCAAATACCGCCCCATCACGTGTCTACCGACCATATACAAGACACTAACATCCATTTTGAGCGCGAGAATCACTTGACAACTGGACTCAAATCAGGTGATGTCGCGCGCTCAAAATGGATGTCGGGGCGGTGGTCGTGGAACCAAGGAACCACTCCTCATTGACGCGGTCATTGGCAAAGTGGTGAAACGCAACCGTCGGAACTTCTCCGCCGCCTGGATAGACTACAGAAAGGCATTCGACTCGGTGCCCCATACATGGCTAAAGAGAGTCCTCGAGCTGTACAAGATAGACTGTACAGTTAGAGACTTCCTCGAGCAGTGTATGGGGCAGTGGAGTACGATCCTTTGTCATCTAGGCGAGCGGATGATGGCTGCGGAGAACCACATAAGGATAAGAAGGGGTATCTTCCAGGGCGATTGTCTGAGTCCAATCTGGTTCTGCCTCTCTCTGAACCCTCTCAGTACCTTACTGGAGGGCTCCGGGAGGGGATTTCAGCTACGGAAAGGAGGGACAAAAGTGACCCACCTTTTCTATATGGATGACCTCAAGTTATTCGCCTCCAGTCGCTCCCATCTTATGGAATTGCTAAACATCACTTGTGAATTTAGCAATTCCATTGGAATGGAGCTGGGGACGGATAAGTGTGCGGTCCTCCATGTTGAAAGGGGAAGGGTTGCTAACTCTGAGGGCGTAGACTTATCTATGCCCGTCAACTTAAGGACCCTTTCCGAGGCTGAAACATACTGGGTATGTAACAAAACATCGGTATCGATGAGACTGGTATGAAACAGTCAGTTTGCGACGTGTTTTATGCACGCTTGACCAAAGTGCTTAACAGCCTTTTTGTCCGGTGTGAATAAGGCACACGCATATAACGGCTGGGTCATGCCTGTCCTCATGTATACCTTTGGCATACTCAGGTGGACTCAGACTGAACTTAACGCCCTGGATAGAAAAGTCCGCACTACAATGACGTCCCATAGGATGCATCATCCGAGATCGTCGGTAATGAGGCTGTACTTGCCGCGGAAGCATGGTGGTCGTGGCTTCTTGAGCGCGCTCACCATGCATAATCGCGAAGTGTGCAGCCTCCGTGATTACTTCCTGGCGAGATCGGATGATCCATTCTATAAGGACGTCATTTCTTGTGATAAAGGACTTACCCCTCTATCCTTAGCCAACGAGCAATGGCAAGACCCGGCAGTGCAGAGCATTTCCGACCGGGAGACCGTATGGAAGGAGAAGGAGCTCCACGGGAGGTTCTACAAGGCTCTACATGAGCCTTTCGTAGACACAGTAGCCTCCCTCCACTGGCTACGCTTTGGTGATCTCTTCGGGGAAACCGAGGGTTTTGTCTGTGCAATACAGGATCAGGTTATTAAGACCAACAACTATCGGAGATACATCCTAAAGGATGGCACCGTCGACATCTGTCGAGCTTGTCGCCATCCCGGTGAGTCACTTAGGCATGTTATCTCCGGTTGTTCGGCGCTTTCTAACTCTGAGTACTTGCACAGGCACAACCTAGTAGCCAGAATTCTACACCAGGAGCTCGCTCTGAAATACGGTCTCGTGGACCGGAAATTGCCGTACTACAAGTACTTGCCGGAAGCCGTGCTCGAAAATGATCGCGCCAGGCTCTATTGGGACCGGGCCATCATCACAGACAGGACTATTATTGCGAATAAGCCTGATATTGTGCTGATGGACCGGGCACAGTCAAGGATATTTTTGGTCGACATTACCATTCCGTATGACGAGAACCTCGTGAAAGCCGAAACAGACAAGCAAACAAAATATCTGGACCTGGCTCACGAGGTGACCGACATGTGGGGTGGTCTGCCGACCGAAATTATTCCTGTAGTCGTCTCTGCAAACGGGCTAATCCCAGTCAGCCTCTCGGGTCATCTGAGGCGGCTGGGACTACGTGGCGGACCGCTCCAGGTTCAAATGCAGAAGGCGGTGCTCCTCGATACCGCCCGCATCGTCCGCCGGTTTCTTTCCCTTTCCCCCTAACCCTCGGCCGTTTGGTCTCCCCTGCCGAGGGCCTCCATCTGGTTGGGCTTTTATTTATTTATGTACTTTTATATTTATTTTATGTTATTGATATTTATGTATATTTATCTTTTCATTTACATTTATAATTATATATTTATAGCACCCAACCAGATGAGAAAACTATATAGATACCCCAAAATAATAATAATAATAATAATAATAATAGGCGTAGGGAAGTGACGACCCCATCGCCCGCTGACGAAACAGTTAAGTGACAAAACTGCTACGTCGGTGCAGTCAGTCAGCGCCTTGCCAAGAGGTGTGAGCGCCGTGCCTCGGCAGTACTCAGGGTGCAAAGGCCCGTTTGTGCTTACGGCCGTACAATGATGCAATGAAACGGTGCCGGGCCTGGGCGTCTCCCGTTAATTGGCGCCCAAAAATGGATGATGGATATGATTAGAAAGCGTATAGGGCCGCTGCCTGGGGGTCGCCGGGGCGCGTCTGGAGCTGGCGCTGGACGCGGCAGCATGCGGGCCGCCAGCCGAGCGCGAGGAGCTGCAAGATCACCTAACAGCCCCCCGCATCCATCATCCCCACCAGACGGCTTGATGTCGGCAGGGTCCTCTCGGACTCGGCAAGCGGCATCCGCCGCTGGTGGAGTGCGCCGCATGCGTTGGACAAGAGATATGAACGCAAACGCATTGCGGGCGTACTATAGGGCGAAAGGGGAAGAAACTAAGGGGATAGCGTATCGGGCTCGGATGCATTGCTTTTTTGCTGAGCTGGAGCCGTCTATTCCCGTCACGGAACAAAACCTGGCAGACCGAGTTCGGTACATCATGCGCTCGAAAATATTTGATGATGCCGAGCTCGAACGACTACGGCGTGAGGCCATTCCCTCATCGAATGAATTGGCTACGGCTGGGGATGCGGCTCCTCAGGCGACAGACCAGCTGCCACGCGTAGAAGCTGCCATGGATCTTCCAGTTGTGGTTGATTCCGACGATGATGAAATGGTCTCCCACGAACTAGAGCAAATGAGGAGTATACTGGAAGAGGCGATTTTGGAAACGCGCACCATGCCTCTCGAAAATCGACCGCGACTTCCCCGCATACCCCTAAGCAAGCGAAATCGGGCTGTCGTGAGGGCTCTTAACCCTATGCTGGTAACCTATTTGGAAGCCAGCCGGGACCTTTGCGAGACGGACTCAGTTCTTTTTGGCGCCGCAGTGGCAGCTTGCCGTATTATTGGCGCCAAACTTCCCCTGGCTGGACGCGCTACTAAACAAAGTAGCGCCATCCCAGCCTGGAGAAAAAGAATTGAGGACCGTATCGCAAAGGCAAGGGCCCTTATCGGCAGACCGATAAGCTTCAGGTCGGGTAATAATAGACCGAGGGTTGTGCGCTCCGTTAGAATGGCGTTTGCTGGGACAAAAATCAGTTTGTCCCAGCCGGATATCACGCAGAAACTAACGGAGCGCATAGACGACCTGAAGCAAAAGATTGCCGCTTGGGGGAAGCGGATTCGCCGATTTACCGAGAGGTCAAGGCGGTTCAACCAGAATCGTCTCTTCCAGAGTGATCAGAAGAGGCTCTACAAATCATTGGAGCGACCAGAGGTATGTGGAGCGGGCCCAGGACCGGATCAGGCTAACACTGTCGCATTTTGGCGTGGCCTGTGGTCAGAGCCCGTAAACCACAGCGAGGGCTCTTGGACGGAAGTTGTGGCGAGTCAGTGTGCGAGTATAACGCCCATGGACCCCGTCATCATAACGCCGGATGACGTAGCTGAGGCGGTCCGTAGAGCCCCGAACTGGAAAAGTCCGGGACTCGACGGACTGCATCACTACTGGCTGAAGGGGTTCATGGTGTGTCACGCTGTGCTCGCCCGTCAGTTTCAAGAGGCTCTCAACCAGAAGTCGCTCCCTAGCCTCTTCACTACTGGGATCACTCATTTGGTTCCTAAAGACCAGGTTACCACAGACCCGAGCAAATACCGCCCCATTACGTGTCTACCCACCATATATAAGACACTGACATCCATTTTGAGCGCGAGAATCACTCGTCACCTGGAGCTAAATCAGGTGATGTCACGCGCTCAAAATGGATGTCGGGGCGGTGGTCGTGGAACCAAGGAACCACTCCTCATTGACGCGGTCATTGGCAAAGTGGTGAAACGCAACCGTCGGAACTTCTCCGCCGCCTGGATAGACTACAGAAAGGCATTCGACTCGGTGCCCCATACATGGCTAAAGAGAGTCCTCGAGCTGTACAAGATAGACTGTACAGTGAGAGACTTCCTCGAGCAGTGTATGGGGCAGTGGAGTACGATCCTTTGTCATCTGGGTGAGCGGATGATGGCTGCGGAGAACCACATAAGGATAAGAAGGGGTATCTTCCAGGGCGACTGTCTGAGTCCAATCTGGTTCTGCCTCTCCCTGAACCCTCTCAGTACCTTACTGGAGGGATCCGGGAGAGGATTTCAGCTACGGAAAGGAGGGGCAAAAGTGACCCACCTTTTCTATATGGATGACCTCAAGTTATTCGCCTCCAGTCGCTCCCATCTTATGGAATTGCTAAACATCACTTGTGAATTTAGCAATTCCATTGGAATGGAGCTGGGGACGGATAAGTGTGCGGTCCTCCATGTTGAGAGGGGAAGGGTTGCTAACTCTGAGGGCATAGATTTATCTATGCCCGTCAACTTAAGGACCCTTTCCGAGGCTGAAACATACCGATACCTGGGTATGTCACAGAACATCGGTATCGATGAGGCTGGTATGAAACAGTCAGTTTGCGACGTGTTTTATGCACGCTTGACCAAAGTGCTTAATAGCCTTTTGTCCGGTGTGAATAAGACACACGCATATAACGGTTGGGTCATACCTGTCCTTATGTATACCTTTGGCATACTCAGGTGGAGTCAGACTGAACTTAACGCCCTGGATAGAAAAGTCCGCACTACCATGACGTCCCATAGGATGCATCATCCGAGATCGTCGGTAATGAGGCTGTACTTGCCGCGAAAGCATGGTGGGCGTGGCTTTCTGAGCGCGCTCACCATGCATAATCGTGAAGTGTGCAGCCTCCGTCATTACTTCCTGGCGAGATCGGATGATCCATTCTATAATGACGTCATTTCTAGTGATAAAGGGCTTACCCCTCTATCCTTAGCCAACGAGCAATGGCAGGACCCAGCAGTGCTTAGCATTTCCGACCGGGAGACCGTATGGAAGGAGAAAGAGCTCCACGGGAGGTACTACAGGGCTCTACATGAGCCCATCGTAGATACAGTCGCCTCCCTCAACTGGCTGCGTTTCGGTGACCTCTTCGGGGGAAACCGAGGGTTTTGTCTGTGCAATACAGGATCAGGTTATTAAGACCAACAACTATCGGAGATACATCCTAAAGGATGGCACCGTCGACATCTGTCGAGCTTGTCGCCATCCCGGTGAGTCACTTAGGCATGTCATCTCCGGTTGTTCGGCGCTTTCTAACTCTGAGTACTTGCACAGGCACAACCTAGTAGCCAGAATTCTACACCAGGAGCTCGCTCTGAAATACGGTCTCGTGGACCGGAAATTGCCGTATTACAAGTACTTGCCGGAAGCCGTGCTCGAAAATGACCGCGCCAGGCTCTACTGGGACCGGGCCATCATCACAGACAGGACTATTCTTGCGAATAAGCCTGATATTGTGCTGATGGACCGGGCACAGTCAAGGATATTTTTGGTCGATATTACCATCCCGTATGACGAGAACCTCGTGAAAGCCGAAACAGATAAGCAATCAAAGTATCTGGACCTGGCTCACGAGGTGACCGACATGTGGGGTGGTCTGCCGACCGAAATTATTCCTGTAGTCGTCTCTGCAAACGGGCTAATCCCAGTCAGCCTCTCTGATCATCTGAGGCGACTGGGACTCCGTGACGGACCGCTCCGGGCTCAAATGCAGAAGGCGGTGCTCCTCGATACCGCCCGCATCGTCCGCCGGTTTCTTTCCCTTTCCCCCTAACCCTTGGCCGTTTGGTCTCCCCTGCCGAGGGCCTCCATCTGGTTGGGCTTTTATTTATTTATGTATTTTTGTATTTATTTTATTTTATTGATATTTATGTATATTTATCTTTTCATTTTCATTTATAATTATATATTTATAGAACCCAACCAGATGAGAAAACTATATAGATACCCCATAATAATAATAATAATAATAATAAAGGCGTAGGGAAGTGACGACCCCATCGCCCGCTGACATAACGGTTATGTGACAAAACCGCTACGTCGGCGCAGTCAGTCAGCACCTTGCCAAGAGGTGTTAGTGCCGTGCCTCGGCAAAAATTGAAGGTGCCAAGGCCCGCCTGTGCACATGGCCTAACCATGAAACGGCGCCGGGTCTGGGCGTCTCCCGCTAAATGACGCCCTAAAATGGATGATGGAATCAAATGGAACGCGCAAAGGGCCGCTGCCTGGAGGTCGCCAGGGCGCGTCTGGAGCTGGCGCTGGACGCGACAGCATGCGAACCGCCAGCCGAGCGCGAGGTGCTGCACGACCACCCAGCAGCCCCTCGCATCCATCATCCCCACCAGCTGGCTTGGTGTCGGCAGGGTCTTCGCGGGCTCAGCAATCGGCACCCGCCACTGGTGGAGTACGCCGCATGCGTTGGACAACCCAGATGAACAGCAACGCATTGCGGGCGTATTTTAGGGCGAAAGGGGGAGAAACTGGAGGTTTTGCGTATCGGGCAAGGATGCATCGACTTTTTGCTGAGCTGGAGCCATCTGTAACCGTCACCGAGCAAAACCTGGCAGACCGAGTTCGGTATATCTTGCGCTCAAATACATTTGATGTCACCGAACTCGAACGGCTACGACGTGAGGCTCTTCCTTCATCGGGTGAAAATGCTGCGGCTGAGGATGCGGCGCCACAACTTGCCGAGCAAACGGCAAATGTGGATGCCGCCGTGAATACGCCAGTTGTGGTTGATTCAAACGATGATGGAACAGTCGCCCAGGAACTGGAACTAGAGCAAATGAGGAGTACATTGGAAGAGGCGATTGTGGAAACGCGCAGTACGAGTCTCGAAAATCGACCGCGACTTCCCCGCTTAGCCCTAAGCAAGCGGAATCGGGCTGTCGTGAGGGCTCTGAACCCAATGCTGGTTACCTATTTGGAAGCCAGCCGGGACCTTTGCGAGACGGACTCAATTCTTTTTGGCGCCGCACTGGCAGTCTGCCGTATTATAGGCGCCAAACTTTCCACGGCTGGACGCGCTACTGGACAAAGTACTGCTATCCCAGCCTGGAGAATAAGAATTGAAGAACGTATCGCAAGGGCTAGAGCCCTCATCGGCAGACTGATATGCTTCAGATCAGGCAACACCAGGCCAAGGATTGTGCGCACCGTCAGGATGGCGTTTGCTGGGACAAATGTTAGTTTGTCCCAGCCGGATATAACGCAAAAACTGACGGAGCACATAGACGACCTGAAGCAAAGAATAGCTGCTTGGGGAAAGCGGATTCGGCGATATACCGAGAGGTCGACACGGTTCAACCAGAATCGTCTCTTCCAGAGTGATCAGAAGAGGCTCTATAAATCATTGGAGCGACCAATGGTAAGTGGAACGGGCCCAGCACCGAATCAGGCCGACACTGTCGCATTCTGGCGCAGCCTGTGGTCAGAGCCCGTAAACCACAACGAGGGCCCTTGGACGGAAGTTGTGGCGAGTCAGTGTGCGGGTATTACGCCCATGGACCCCGTCATCATAACGCCGGATGACGTAGCTGAGGCGGTCCGTAGGGCCCCGAACTGGAAAAGTCCGGGGCTTGACGGGCTGCATCACTACTGGCTGAAGGGGTTCATGGTGTGTCACGCTGTGCTCGCCCGACAGTTTCAAGAGGCTCTCAACAAGAAGTCGCTCCCAAGCCTCTTCACTACTGGGATCACTCATTTGGTTCCTAAAGATCAGGGTACCACAGACCCGAGCAAATACCGCCCCATCACGTGTCTACCGACCATATACAAGACACTAACATCCATTTTGAGCGCAAGAATCGCTCGTCACCTGGACTTAAATCAGGTGATGTCGCGCGCTCAAAATGGATGTCGGGGCGGCGGTCGTGGAACCAAGGAACCACTCCTCATTGACGCGGTCATTGGCAAAGTGGTGAAACGCAACCGTCGGAACTTCTCCGCCGCCTGGATAGATTACAGAAAGGCATTTGACTCGGTGCCCCATACATGGCTAAAGAGGGTCCTCGAGCTGTACAAGATTGACTGTACAGTTCGAGACTTCCCTCGAGCAGTGTATGGGGAGTGGAGTACGATCCTCTGTCATCTAGGCGAGCGGATGACGGCTGCGGAAAGCCGCATAAGGATAAGAAGGGGTATATTCCAGGGCGACTGTCTGAGTCCAATCCGGTTCTGCCTCTCTTTGAACCCTCTCAGTACTTTACTGGAGGGCTCCGGGAGGGGATTTCAGCTTCGGAAAGGAGGTACAAAAGTGACCCACCTTTTCTATATGGATGACCTCAAAGTATTCGCCTCCAGTCACTCCCATCTTATGGAATTGCTAAACATCACGTGTGAATTTAGCAATTCTATTAGAATGGAGCTGGGGACGGATAAGTGTGCGGTCCTCCATGTTGAAAGGGGAAGGGTTGCTAACTCTGAGGGCGTAGACTTATCTATGCCCGTCAACTTAAGAACCCTTTCCGAGGCTGAAACATACCGATACCTGGGTATGTCACAGAACATCGGTATCGATGAGGCTGGTATGAAACAGTCAGTTTGCGACGTGTTTTATGCACGCTTGACCAAAGTGCTTAACAGCCTTTTGTCCGGTGTGAATAAGGCACACGCATATAACGGTTGGGTCATGCCTGTCCTCATATATACCTTTGGCATACTCAGGTGGACTCAGACTGAACTTAACGCCCTGGATAGAAAAGTCCGCACTACCATGACGTCCCATAGGATGCATCATCCGAGATCGTCGGTAATGAGGCTGTACTTGCCGCGGAAGCATGGTGGTCGTGGCTTCTTGAGCGCGCTCACCATGCATAATCGCGAAGTGTGCAGCCTCCGTGATTACTTCCTGGCGAGATCGGATGATCCATTCTATAAGGACGTCATTTCTTGTGATAAAGGACTTACCCCTCTATCCTTAGCCAACGAGCAATGGCAAGGTCGACCGAAATTATTCCTGTAGTCGTCTCTGCAAACGGGCTAATCCCAGTCAGCCTCTCGGGTCATCTGAGGCGGCTGGGACTACGTGGCGGACCGCTCCAGGTTCAAATGCAGAAGGCGGTGCTCCTCGATACCGCCCGCATCGTCCGCCGGTTTCTTTCCCTTTCCCCCTAACCCTCGGCCGTTTGGTCTCCCCTGCCGAGGGCCTCCATCTGGTTGGGCTTTTACTTATTTATGTACTTTTATATTTATTTTATGTTATATGATATTTATGTATATTTATCTTTTCATTTTCATTTATAATTATATATTTATAGAACCCAACCAGATGAGAAAACTATATAGATACCCCATAATAATAATAATAATGTGCACTTTATTCGCTCTCACTAATTACCTTGCCTACTTACTTACCTACCTTGCATAATAATATCATTGGAAGTATAACCGTTTTTATTTGTCAGAGACTGGTGTTAGTACTAGCAAAAACCTGTATGACTAATCACCAGATTCTCCTCCCTTAATGTAACTTTTATCACCAAACCTTTAAATTTACTATACTTCGTACGGCAATATGATTTATAGTTACTGTTTTTGTAATTAAAGTTACGATAAAAAGAAAATAAACCAAAAACTAATTTATACGTAAGCTCATGTACTTTTGTGTGTGTTTGTATGAGAAAGAGAGAGACAGAGAGAGAGAGAGAGAGAGTGAGTGTGTGTAAGTGTATGTGTATTTGTATAATATATTATGTAATGGGCGTTGTTAGGGATTCCGTTTCTGTTTAGTGTAAGGCCAAAAGCCATTTCGTTACCCTTGTTTTAAAACTTACCTTATTATAAATGAAGTATAGATAGGTACATGCATTAAGACATAGAAACATACATAAAAATAAATAAATACACTCATAATATGTAAGTAAAAATAACTTTGACTGACTAAATTTATTTGGCGACCCTCCTCAAGATAAAGCAAAATGTAGTGTGTGACATTTCTAAATGAAACTTTTACTTCATCTGACCTCTTTCAAGCTTTTCGTGCTGGATCTCGAGAAATAAAATGCTAGAATAATTTGTCAAGCAGTGAGTTTATTTTTCAACTTTACGAGTAGACTTTCAAGTCCGGACGTAATTAGCTCTTCCCGCCTCAACCATTCCCGGCACGTCTTATTTCGCTACTTTTGGTTTGGATCCGTTTTTCTTAAAAATCTTGTAGCAAATCCTCGTAAACCCAGACTTACTAGTTTAAAACTTTACTTGTTTCCAGTTTTGTGCTGTGTTTATAGTTTCAAGTCCCTGGTTCACCTGGAAACTGTCTTAAAAAAAGCAAAATACAGGCAGACAAGAAAATCAATTTATAATGCATTGTGTTTCAGCTCTGAGCTAATGTATGGTGAGTGTAGCGTTCGGTTTTACTGGAAGCGATACATGCCATATCAGTAATCAGAAGTGACAATGCATCTGAATTCTGATTTTAAGTGAAGATAAATGCGTGTCAATGGGAAAGCGTCAGCATCCACTAATCATCAGGCGAACTGTGTGCTAGTTTGTCATAAAAAAGAAAAAAAGGTACCGTCAATAGCGCTAGACATCAAGTACTGGAACAAATTCTATAACAGGAGAGGCCCACTTCCAGCAGTGAATTTTCACAGGCTGATTAATTAGAAGGAGGGAAGATACTACCAGACGGGTTTAAGTGAAGATAAATTAAGTCTATGGGCTACAGCATCCACGTATCATTAGGTAAACTTTGTGCTCGTTGTGTAAGTCACCCATATGTCCTAATAAATACGGGCCATATTCGGAACCCTCCCAAAAACTATCTACTAGGAAATTATGATAATAACTTACGTAATATACGATTATGCGTGTGTGGGTGCGTATTTGTGTATACGTTGTTTCTTCTATCTTCGTTTCTTTTTTAATAAATAGTTTTTAACCCTTCAATCACAATAAAAATCCCATGCAGTCGCATGCGCCCGGCAAA